TATCCCACGTATACATAGATAGTTATAAACACACAAGTATTTATATTATATGCAATATATCATAGAATACAAAATGACGCATTAAAAGCCGTCGCCTTTGGATCATTGTCAGAGTGTTCTTACATAAACGCGCGAGCTTTGCTACGTGCTGCTATCGACGAGAGATATTGACCTCAGGCTGTAGAACCACGAAGGTAATACTTCTTTAGACACACGCACATACGCTTATACATATGAGCGTACATACACATGTACACAATTATATATACGTACTCATACACATATACACAATTATATATCCAATAATATACATATACTGTCTTATGTATCACTGTATATATAAACATGTCGAAGAACGCCTAACTACAGGCGCTATTATTTCGTCACGATGAGAGAACTTGGCACGAACGTGCATACACACGTGTATATGCATGTAGAGACGTATGTCAAAGGATTAAAAGAACTCCATCTTTATGAACAGAACATTTGTGTTCAAAATTATTATTACCTAAGTATATGTGCATATATGTATATATACATATATATATATATATATATACAAACATATGTATGTATATATGTATGTATGTATGAATGTATGTACGTAGGTAGGTATATAGATATAATACGTACGTATGTATGTAGAGATGTTATCGAAAAAAAAAAGAAAAGAAAAAGAGAGAGAAAAAAAAAGGAAAAGAAAAAATATGCATTTATGCATACACGCATGCAGGTATGCATAGGGATGCACTTACGCACGCAGAGATACGTATGTATATATGTATGTATATATGTACATCGGTTGTTGTCTCCGTAGGTATATACTTTCGTATCGAATTCCTTCGTATAAATAGTCGTGAATGATCGGAGTCCGGTTGCACGTTCCGAAATAACTTATTCTACGAACGGAATAGTAGTTTGATGGACACGTTAACGAAAGCAAAGAGTAGTTTTGCCATGCCGAAAATTATTACGCAAGACGTTTTCTTCGAACGCGTTATGGTCGATATATGTATATATATATGTATGAAGGAAATCTATCGAGACAATCGATCGACTAGTATGTAACTACATACAGTAATAGCAGAAGCAGACTGATATTATATGTGTGTATGTATATACATATACATATACATATGTGTATGTGTTGTGTGCGTGTGTATATATATATATATATTTATACGTAGATAGGAAGGTACATACGTATGTATGGTCTATCATCGATCGTGAGAAAACCAGTTTAGGATCGAGCACGAAAGAAGATAGAGAAAAAGGGGTAAACGTCAAGAGATCGTAGCAGTCAAAACCGATCGAACACATTGTATGTACAAATAAAGAAGACAAGGACGATATTCCTTGTATAGCGAATAAATAGATACTGTCGTCGAATTTTAAACGACGGAAAAATAAAAAAGAAAAAGAGAGAAAAAAAAAGAAAGAAAGAAAGAAACGAGAGATCTATGATTCTAGTGTTATTAATGCAAGCACGCTATATATTTACGATATCGAGGAAAAACGAACATTTAAATCGTATCGCTGATATCGCTTATTCGTCTATTATTATTATTTATGAATAAATGAAAAAAAAAAAAAATAAAAAATAAAAAATAAAAAATAAAAAAAAAAAAAGAAATAAAATAAAATAAAATAAATAAAAAAAAATTCTACTACCTATCGAAATTATTCATAAATCGGCCGCGCTCTATATATCGGGCCATAACTTTCAATGAAATCGATTGAGCATGTTAATTTTTCTTTCGTTTTATTATATACACTATACTATCGCTTTAAGGAATAAATGTTCATAATGCTGTGTAAAGGCAACGTTGACCGTGCCGAATAAAATAATCGATATTTTAAATCCTCTCGTATCCATTCGATCCTTCACGATGGCAGAATTAATTGGGTAAATAATGAAAATGATAATCAAATTCTAACAATCCGTCTTATGATAAGTGATCTCTAAATAAATATATATATATATATATCTCTTTTTTTTATATAAAAATATATATGATATGGATACATTTCTCTCCCTCTTTTCTTTTTTTGTTTTTTTTTTTTTCCCTTAATCAGTACATCCATCACTACGAACGATACAAATTATTCTCAAAATGTTCTAAACTAAAAAGTATTAATGATAATACTTTTTCTCTTTTTGTTCTGTTTATCGATGAATCTTCTTCGCACACGCAAAGTCCGATCGATACGAGATGGTCTGCACGCAAGTACATATCGACCACTGAAACAACGATATCCTTTGAAATCCATAGCAATACGTTCCCGTCGCAATCAACAAGATGATCGATTTACAGACATGAATTTGACGCAACAGGAAAATCAATGTGATACATGCTTATTATTGGCACATGGTAATCAGTTTCGTACGTATGCGTATAATATGTATCTAACTAAGTAAATAATTATTTACGCATATAGAATGTATCTTAATTTAATTATTTTATATATCTTTTCGTTTACAGGAAAAAGGGAAAAAGAAAAAGAAAAAGAAGCAATAAAAGAAAAAAAATGAAAAGAAAAAAAAAAAAAAGAATGCGCGAGAAATATGAAACAGTCGATTCTTGATCGTTCGATCGCGTCGTGTAATCGATCAAAATCTAATTATGCTGCCACCTACTTAATCGTAGTCGATTAGTCTTTCATGAAGCTTTTTATCGATGATAGTGAGTCCGAAGTTGGCATTAAGAAAATCTCAACGATACGTTCAGTTATCAGAAGTGAATGTCGCGTCGCGTCGGTCGCGTCGGTCGCGTCATTTAGAAATCCGCAATTAAAGATATAATTGAAGATAAGAGGGAAAGAAAGAAATAGAGAGAGAGAGAGAGAGAGAGAGAAAGAGAGAGAGATAAATTAATGTGTGAGATCGTAATCAAATCTCCTCTGTCGCTACCAGCTACGCAAGTAATGAATGTCGGGAAAAAGATAAAAAAAAAAATAAAAAAAAAAAGAAAAAAAAAAGGAAAATAAAAAAAATGAAACAAAAAAAAAAAAAGAAAGGAATAAAAAGATTTGATGATTTATAAAGGACGAAAATGATCGAAATGATCTTTCTTTTCTTTCTTTTTTTTTTTTTAATTATTTTTTTTGTTCACTTCCTCCTCTCTGCTTCATCTTTTTCCCATCATTATTTTCTTTCATTCGTTTCGCATCATCACCTCTCTCTCTCTCTCTCTCTCTCTCTCTCTCTCTCTCTCTCTCTCTCTCTCTCTCTCTTTTTTCTCTCTTTCTTTCTTTCTTTCTTGCCGTCGAAGAGAGTAATATACTAACCGTGCTCTCTTCGATATGCTTATCGTAGAAGATTATTTTCTAAGCTTGTGCTTTAGGCTAGGTCGTGAAACGTGACACACGTAGCGCACGCGTACAGAGGACCAACAACCAACCTTGCTCTTAGACGTTTGCGAGCAATAAACATGAGTTATCGCAAGTATCGTCGTAGAGAAGACGACACTACTACTATTAAAGATGGAGGAAAAGACGAACGAAGAAAAAAAAAGAGAAAAGAGAAAAGAAAAGAAGCTTACCTTCTGGTCTCAGCCTGTCTGCGATAAGGCAGTACGGGGGTGGCGGCGACTCTGAAACAAAATACAAATAAAAATAATATCCGATTGATGTTCGATAATTAGGGGGAAAAAAAAGAAAAAGAAAAAATAAGATAAATAAAAAAAAAAAAAAAGAAAAAAGAAACAGTCCTCTTTAAATTTTCTCTTTAAATTTCTTTTTTAATATCTTTCATTTTATGTTTCCCTCGCCCCCACTCTCTCTACTTTTTAATCAAACATACGTATGCTACGAGCGCACGCGCTCAAGATTTGCTGCGTAGATTTTGTATGTAAATACAAATACCGATTGAATGAAATTCAACATTTAAATCAAATGTTTGATCGTTCGTTTACAAAGAATTCGAATTATATTTGCTTTTAAATGATCCGTTATAAGTACTGAAGTGGGTCTTTGATAAGTTATGAACGGACTTGGACAGATAGATAGATAGATAGATAGATAGATAGATAGATAGATAGATAGATAGATAGATAGGTAGATAGATAGATAGATAGATAGACAGATAGATAGATAGACAGATAGACAGATACAGAGAGAGAGAGAGAGAGAGAGAGAGAGAGAGAGAAATAGTAGATCAGTGTATTCGCTAGGGAGAAAGAAGAAACGAGAAATCAACTCAAGGACCCGCCTTCGATGAAGCTTCAACGGCGCGATGGCATTGCCGCGATACGAAATATCTTCGAGAAACGGCGCTCCGTTAGAAGTCCCAATCCAAAAGCGGTGGAGTTCTATTATTGGCACGCACCAGTGAAACCGGTATGTCGTTTTTCGTCCTTTTACGTATCGCTCTGAAAGCATAGAGGACGGACCGCCGCGCGAATATCTCAAACGTCAAGGTAACCCTTGAGAAAAAGAGAGAGAGAGAGAGATAGAAAGAGAGATAGATAGAGAGAGAGAGAGAGAGAGAGAGAAGCGCCTTCTCGACGCCACCGTTACCATTCGTAGAATCCGATGGAACGCTGCTCGGACAAAAATAGCTGCGAAAATGGCGATTGGATAACTTTGATCAATACTCGTGGCGAAAATAAACTTTGTGCCGGCCGAATAAGTTTTTCGTGGACTATTCCTCCTTAGAAAATTTCACAGAGAATTTTCATCGCGTAACGAACACCATTCGCTTTCCTCACTCCTCTCGGTCTCGCGCCGTGCCATGAGTATAATATTTATTTTATCGTACGCGATAAATGGACCGTTACATTAAATATATATGCATGCATGCATGCATGCATGGATGTATATATGTATGTATAAAGGGTAGGGAGAGAAACGACTTATTTGTTGTGACCGAGACGCGAACAACACTTACGTACCTACTCGCGCCGAAATTCCTAGACGATAACGGGGGCGACGGCGTCGTCTCTACGACGCGTAATGGCCGACAGTCGCGCCTACACGCGTGGAAAGATAGATACACTCTCTTTCTCTCTCTCTCTCTCTCTCTCTCTCTCTCTCTCTCTCTCTCTCTCTCTCTCATGCGATTGTCTTTACGCGATTCCTCTTACACTTTTTTCGCTTTCTTCCTCTTTCGACGTATATACATATGTACATAGATTCCTACGTGCGACGAACGACGTCTCTGCAATCGACTATCTTGAATTTCTAATAGAAGAAACGAATGGTATTCGCATGAAATTGCTGTTCAAAATAAAACAATATTTTTTATATCACTTTTCCATACGACATTATTTATTTATGAAGATTTCGAGTGTTAACATATATATATATATATATATATATATATATATATATATATATATTCTTCTGCATCTTCTCTGCAAAACGAGCGGTATATCGTCAGATATATTTATAGATGGTCGCACGTAACTTGCTGATCTACCTGGCGCGTTATGGAAAAAAAATCGTTATCGACAAAAGAAATTCGTCCCCCGTCGATAGACGACGATTCGACCGAGCGAGCCGCCATCTTGCTCACCTGGGTTTACACCATAATGGCGGAACGATTAACGTTCCTTATATTCCCCATCCATTTCGGGGTTTCGCTTCGATCACCGATCCCCGACACGAATCCGACGAAAATAGATCACTGCTCATACAGGTAGGAGACCACCGAAGGCTATCGCTATTTCTCGCGCTCAGTATATTATACATCACAGAGAGGATGCAATGCCGGCATATCAATTAAAATAATGTCGCTGACTCAACGCGGTTAGATACTTAAAATTCTGCAGCATGCGCGCGCGCCTTTACTTATCCCGGTTTGTCAAAAAAAGACGATTGTTGACCTTGTCTTTGCCTCGGCTCTTGTCCGAACTAGAAGCCGTATGAATGAATTGTGTGCCAACGAAGATAGTTAATATATCCCTCGATCGTAGTTAAGACGATATCGAAAGATTTATGCGGCTAAATCAAACGTATTAAGACGTTGAATCTTATCTGTCCATGTCGCAAAAAATATTCTCTTTTTTTTAGATGTTCAATGACGCAATGACGAACGTAACTTCCTTCGAGAGAAAGAGAAAGAGAAAGGGAAAGAGAGAAAGAGAGAGAGAGAGAGAGAGAGAGAGAGAGAAAAGAAGGGGAACGATGAACGCGAAATTCAAGAAGTGGAAGAGAGCGGCTACTGCCACGGCTACTATTATACTTATTATAAGAATGAACTGCGGCGATGATAAAAGACCGTGTGAATATGAATATGTATATATATATATATATATATATATATATATATATAAATATACACATATATATACAACTGTAAATATATAGGCGACGGGGTCGGGCGACGGTTTGCGTAACGATATCGTCGTCGCTCGATGATAATCGATTCGTCGGAGTGAATTATTAACGGCCTCGTGCGCGAGACGTATATAGCGAATACCACGACGAATGCAAAAACAGAGAGAGAGAGAGAGAGAGAGAGAGATAAAGGCGCCGGTGCAGGAGCCTCCACCGTCGCCGCTTCCTCCTTCTCCTCCACCTCCTTCTTCGCGACATCATCAGTATCATAGCGCCTGTTACGAAAACAAGGCGCCAACCTGCGGGCGCGAGCGCAGTTTACCTTCGCAAAACAAGCATTCATGGTTATTCTAATTACTATACTATTTTACTCAAAAGAAATTCATTTCTATTCAATGACGACTACCCAGACTTGGAAATGACAATAATAAAAAAATAATAATAATAATATTAATAATAATAATAATAATAATAATATTAATAATAATAATAATAATAATAATAATAATAATAATAATATAAATAAGACAAAGAGATAAGTCAATTCATAGAAAGAAAAGCCTAAGGTGTTTTCGTTTAGCCGGTGCCTGGATCAAGAAGAATGATACCATCGTCGTTGTCGTCGTCGTATTTTCTCATCTGCCCTTCCTTCCTTCAATGAGCAGAGTGCGGGCAAGCAACACTCGAATACAGAGATTCGACTTGCGTCGGCGTCGTGCGGCTGGCTGTGCAGCACTGCCGCGATGTTCAAACCACGCCGGTGTACGGGCCGATGTGCGCCTGCACACGGTAGTATCTATGCTCTGCATAGGTTATGTGTGTGTGTGTGTGTGGTGTGTGTGTACACACATACATAAATACATATACTACGTGCATGCATTTATATGTTAACGTATGTACGTGCGTACGATTTACGTGCGTGTGCATGTCCTCCATGAGAGAGAGAAAGAGAGAGAGAGAGAAAGAGAGACAGAGAAAGAGAGAGACCGGCTTCGGCTTGCTTCGGTCAGCTCCTCGGCTAATGCCGGCTGGCCTCGACAATTAGCTGGCGCCAGCAATGACACGCAGCGGCGCCGGGCCGTGCCTCCCTCCCCGCCAGCCCCACCTCGAATGGCCGGTCGCTCGCTCGCTCGCTAGCTTGCTTGTTCCTTCTCTCCCCTCCCTCCCGCCCTGCCTCTCTTAGCCTATGCTTCACCGTCGCGTCGCATCGCGCGGGCCGCCGCCAGCCGCTCCCTCGCGCAGTTCCTTTTCTCACTCAATCTCTCTCTCTCTCTATTTCTCTCTCTCTCTCTCTCTCTCTCTCTTTCTCTCTCTCTCTCTCTCTCTTTTTCTCTCTTTCTTCTTTTACTCTCTTTCTCTTACTCTCGCTCTCGCTCTCGCTCTTTCTCTGCACGGAGAGGAGAGACCACAACTCGCTCAATATACGCTTTATTTTTAGATTCATTTCCTTCTGCCCATAAACTCTGATTGTGCAGCTATTGGTAAGAGAGCGTGCTGCCGGCATCTCTCTCTCTCTCTCTCTCTCTCTCTCTCTATGTTTTCTCTCACTCCCTATCGTTCATCTTTCTTCTTTCGCTCGACTCGTTTTCGTTCTCTCTCTCTCTCTCTCTCTCTCTCTCTCTCTCTCTCTCTCTCTCTGTCTGTCTATCTCTTCCTTTCCTTCTTTCGGTTTCTCATGCCTGTGTTTCTATACCCACCGATATCTAACGCCAAGATCCATCATCTTGTTTCGGTTAAATCGTATCTCTTCCTCTTCTCGTCGGTATACGCCGGCTTCTATTTCGAGAGATACGTTTGGCCTCTCCCACCTTATTCACTTTTTCTCTTTTTCCTTCGTCTCTCTCTCTCTCTCTCTCTCTCTCTCTCTCTCTCTCTCTCTCTCTCTCTCTCTCTTGTTTCTTCTTTCTTCAGAGTGCAACACAAAACATCGAGAGTTGCAGATATATGTATGTATGTATGTACGTGTGTGTATGTAAGTATGTGTATGCATGTATATATGTGGTATGTATGTATGTATGTATGTACCTATGTATACGTTTAGAAAACGTGCTCTTTACTTACTACGAAAATGTACTCTCTAACAGCTCTCATAGATAGGAGAGTCTCTTCTCCCTGTTTACTATTCCACGCTGGTTACCCCCTACTTCACGAACGTTCTCGTTCCATAGAGATCAAAGTCGTCTTGTTGTTCCTTTCTTTCTTTCTTTTTTTTTTTTTCTTTTTTCTCTGCTTTTAAAGAAGAAAGAAACAGAAAATACCTACTCCACTTCTCTCTCTCTCTCGCTCTCTCTCTCTCTCTCTCTCTCTCTCTCTCTCTCTCTCTCTCTCTCTCTCTCTCTCTCAAATTCGACGGATTTCTCTACGTGTGCATATTTATGCTACGAACTCTCGACGCCTCTTTCTATTATTAGAGGCGGAGTCTTTTCGTTGTGGAATTCAAAGGATTCCGTTAAGTCTTCTACTTCTCTCAAAAGAGAATAAGTCAACGTGAGAAAGAGAGAAAGATAGATAGATAGATAGATAGATAGAGATAGAGAAAGAGAGAGAGAGATAAAAAAATGTAATTCATAGCGATTTTATCGTAACGAGGGTGTAAGTAGGGGATAGGGAATAGGGAGGGAATCGGCGGAGAATTCAAGATCTTAATCATTACACGTCGCGCCTATTTATTTATAGAGATTTAATCGCAAAAAAAAAAAGAAAAAAAAAAAGGTTATGCCTAACTAACGTTCAAAAATGTTACGATTCAAGTTGTCGATTCGATACTACGAAGTAGTGGGTGGATGGGTGGATTTGTTCTCGACGTACACAAACTGGACGGCGCTTGTTTTACGACGTTTTAAACGACGATCGGCCGAGTTACGTAAAGGTGTTCTTACTTTACTGGCGCCTACTCTCTCTTTCTCTTTCTATCTATCTCTCTCTCTCTCTCGCTCTCGCTCTCTCTCTATCTCTCTCTCTCTCTCTCTCGTTCGTTTTCTCACGTCGGGATAGGACGAGACAGCTTTTTCTTTTTTTTTTCTTTTCTTTTTATTTTTTCTTTTTTTGCGGTTAAAGTCACGTCCGTCCAGTGCCGGGATCACAGACAGTAGTATAGTAGTGTCTGAGGAGATACAGTAGACTATCTACGTTTAAAAAGGAAAAATAGGATGTCACGAAAAAGGTCTACCATAAATTTTCTGCTTCGTCGACGTTAAAAAAACTTGGCGACTACGTTAAAAAGAAAAGATATCGCAACGTCCGACAGACAGACAGAAAACCGTTCTCTCCTTAATTCACCGATCGAAATCGTACGAACGAGGAACACAGACTTCTCGTTCTCATTCTGGAAGAGGGTGGGGAGAAGAAGGAAAAGTAAAGGGGAGAAACATTCTTCTTAATTTGTAATTACATTGGAATTCTCAACGTTAATAACTATTTATAGTAGATATACTATAAATAGGTAATAAGTCGCGAAAAAAAAAGAGAGAGAAAAAAATAAAAAAGAAAAGAAGGAGAAAAATAGAAGGAAAAAAAAAAATATATATATGTTTTACTCGTTTCGATAATCGAATTTTAATCGATAAATCGAGTTATTTAAATACCAAAGCGTCTTTTATGGATAACGAGGATCGCGGTTGGTATATTAACGCGGTTTGAACATTATGACCGTGCAAACAGTAAAGGTAATCCTCGCAGGTAAGGCCAATAAATCAACGTTTTACATCGGTTCGAGTGTGTG